GACCTCTGGATGAGCAGTCAGTGCTCTTAACCTCTGAGCCATCTCTCCAGCCTGACATAGCATTTTAATTCTTGTTTCTTTTTGAATTTTACATTTGCTTATTTACTCCTTGTCATCGTTTACTTTCAAGCCTTCTGTGTGTTCTGTGCACACAGGAGATGTCCCTCGGCCACTCACAGTGGTAAGGCTATGGGCAAACAGCCTTTAACACTGAGCACCAGAACTTCCAGCATTAGCAGGGATGATGCTGGAGCATCGTAGCAACCCTACTGGCTTCCTCTCTGTTCAAGCTCCTGGGCAGGTGCTAGACCTCGAAATCCTTTGAGTTGAGCAATGTGGGTGAGGAAGATATTCAGATGGACTTTCTCAGAAGTCTAACTCAGAACTCCTGGGATTCTGATATCAGTACTTAATTAGCCTTCAGCCTCTGCAGTCCTAGTAAGGACTGATGCTTTTCCTACTATGTGCTGCAAGGCTTACTCCTGGAAACCTGGTTGGGGTCATGAGGGAATAAAGGGAAGACAAACACTAAAAACAAAATGGGACAGGCACATGGATACAGAAAAGCTGGGGTCATGTGGGCTACGTGCACCCTGATGGAGGGGCACTATTTCCAGCAATGACCCCGACCTCAGCACTTTTATTATGTGCACGGGGCAAAGAGTTAGCTGAACTGTGTAGGAGGTGTCTATGGATGAAAAGCCTAGATCTGAACATTGAAGAAGAGAAAGCTGTAGTTGCTAGTTTTTTCACTCACTCATCACCCATTAATAAACTCTCTTACATGCTGCCAACATTCACACTCAGGCCAGACAAGGACTTCACCGGTTTCTGTAGGTCTGATGCAATGGTCCTTAACATGGCCGTGCCTGTGACAACAACACACACCCACTCAGCTCCATTTGTCTTTATATATTCTCTCAGGATTTGTTTGTGGACACAAGGGAGCTGGGGCCTTGCTCCACCAGGCTTCGGGTTAAAGCCCTTAACTTGAAGTGATAAGAAGGATCCAGAAACTTAGAGGGACACAAGAGAACTCTATCTCAGGAGAGGTGGTGGTCTGAACAGGAATGGACTCGTTTGCGTTGGCCCATAGAGAGTGGCTCCATTAGGAGATGTGGCCTTCTTGGAGTAGGTGTGGCCCTACTGGAGTAGGTGTGGCCCTACTGGAGTAGGTGTGGCCCTGTTGGAAGAAGTCTGTCACTGTGGAGACTGACTTTAAGGTCTTAAATGTTCATGGTAGGCCTAGTGTGGCAGTCTCTTTCTGGCTGCCTTTGGATCAAGATGTAGAACTCTCAGCTCCTTCTCCAGCACCATGTCAGTCTGCATGCTCCAGTGCTTCCTGCCGTGATGATAATGGAGAGAACCTGTGACACTGTAAACCAGGCCTAATTTAATGTTTACCTTTATGAGTTGCCCAGTTCATGCTGTCTCTTCACAGCAATAGAAACCCTAACTAAAACACAGGGCTTTGTTTTTTCCTCTCGAAGCAGCTACTGTGAAACTCTCAGGCTCACACTTCATCCTGTATAAACTTCCTAGCCCAGGCTGTTTACCTCCAGGGCCCCATAACCAAGGCATGTCTCTGGTTCAGGCAAGCCTGATCTGCTACTACCGAGACATGGATTTACCCCTGAGGAGCTGGGCCTCTTCTTACTCTTTCTACAATGAGAGTAGCAAGTCTTACCCATGATCCATCTTTCTGTACAATTAGTCTGTAATCCTGATTATTTCTACTAAGGCAACTCTGAAGTCCTAAAGGGCAGAGACCATGCTCCTAGATAACCTTTCAGCACCTGTGCCAGGCTCACTCCTGCTCATGGTGTTTACCTTGGAGTCTTCGCTCATCTCCCGTAAGTTGTGGTCAGGCCAGCAAGCAGGACAACAAGTTAACTCCTTGTGCATCCTTCCTCCATCTAGGCCTGTGATCACAAAGGACCACGGATCTGCCCACGAGTCATGTGCATCTTTTGCTGTTCATTACCCCAATTCCAGGTGTGCTTGTCCATCCTACCTCTCTCTGGTCACTCCACAAAAATAGGTCCTTGTAGGAGGCCACATGACCAACATCCATGCTGTACAGTATGACCCCGTGACACACCAAACCCAACAGCAGCTTTGCCCACCCCAGCCTCTGCAAACGCAAGAACACTAAACGACTCTGTTCAAAACAGTTTATTTTATTATTTTTTTTGTCAGACAAACACATTGATTTCTGGACCACAGTAGAGGATGGAAACCTTTCACAAACTTATTTATTTGAAAATACAAATATAAAATTATACTTTCCACATCTGTGATGTGAGAGACTGCCATCCACATAGTAATTTTTTTTTTTTTTTTACAACAGGGCTTTAAGAAAGCCACACACAAAGACCTGAAAGATGCTTGAGATATATATATATATATAGATACATATATATGTATATATATAAAAAAAATACTCACTACCAAAGTTCTCATCAGTTTCATACTAAAGTATAAAAGTAAGGGTGAGGTCAGCCACAGTGCTAGGGGAAGTTTTATTTAGATACATTTATGTCCACATGAAACGCTTAGACTTGCTTCCTATTACATATGGAATTTCGAGTTTATAACACCATGAATGGCATATTGGCTAGCCCACGCTACTCAAGAGCACACTCACAGACTCCACACAGGGTGGCACAGTATGTACAGAATACAGCAGTAGAAGCCTTCCATGGAGGCTCTGGAACTGTCTCTTAGTCCTGCTCCCCTCCCCCCTCAGGCCCTGCCTCCTGGAAATGAAATCCCGTTCGAGACAATACCTTCTGATTACTAAATAGCCATGTTTGAATTATGGTTGTTTCCCAGAGAGGGGTGGGTTTTATTTATATGTTTTTTTTGTATTTTAGTTTCTTTCTTTCTTTCTTTCTTTCTTTCTTTCTTTCTTTCTTTCTTT